GAATTCAGTCATTCGACATGAGAATTCAGAATCTAATAACTTATCTAATAGTCTCGCAAAATTTCTAAAACTTTGTAACATTTTATTGATATAACATCTAATAACTGTTAAAAGTTTTTATACAAGAGTTCATACAACCTTAACGAGCCACTAGGCTCCCTTGATTACCTGGAACCCAGAAACGTGACAATAAAAAAGCGATGAAAGCTATTAACGAGAGGCGTTCGATGTCTGTTTCAGATATTGATGGTCGAGGGTAAGTCGCACTACGTGAGGAACTTGTTAGATCTGAAACTGGAAGAGCTGCCGTGTCCGGAGCCCTCGAGGGAGGATTTGATGGCGTCCGAGCAGCCGTCGAGCCGTCACGAGAACGCGCGCGTCGGTTCTTCGGGTTCGATCTGGTTCTCGTCGTCGTCCCGTGTCGGCGTCGACTTGTCCGTCCTCTCGTGCTCCGCGTTTCTCCTGCTCTCGGTTTTGTTCACGTAGAACCGGCTGGCATCCACGGACGGCCCACCGAGCAAACCGGAACGACGGCCCGCGCACTAAAACGAGCGCACGGTTCCACTTCCGGTTGTACCACGGGAAGGCGTGCGCGTGATCGCGTCGCGCGCAGTGCATGTATGCGTGTGCGTATCGTCGCGTTTCTCCTCGGTTCGCGACAGAAGATCCGATCGATCGATCGTCCCTGTGAATCCCTCTTTGCTCTTATTCATCGCCGGTAGATTCGACGAGTCGTTCGTCATTTCACGGATCAAGCGACGGAACATTACTCAATATTGATTACAAAAAATTCCATATTGATGATCGACGACAGTCGTCAGAGGTTCGAACCTCTGACGCGACTCGCGAATCTCCCTGAATTAAATTTAGATACAGAGCGGCGGACTCGTCGCAACTTGAAACTTGCCAGGAATTGAATAAGGTCAGATTTGGTATCTCGGGAAGCGTCGGTCATCGGACGACAACGTGGTAAGGCAAGGTGAGTCCCTAAACTTTCTCAGATACGACTCGAATCGATTAGTTCTTCTTCCCGCGAGGAATAACACTACCGGCACGATCGACGGATCGATGCTTGGATCCCCGAGGACGCGCCGGAAACGTGTCACTTCGCGTCGCGACGCCCGTTCAACGATATTAGATGAGACATCCTTGTTTCCACCCCCGCCCTCCCCTCCCCATTCGGCAGACCGAGATTCATCTTTTATCTAACTATTTATCAATTCGTGTCTGCAATTTTTATTTCAATCGAATAAGAAGCTAGTCAAACAAGTATTAATCAAACGCAGAATGAATCACGGTTTGTCTTTTAAAGGATACGATCGATACGTGATCGTTGATCTAACGTTTAACGAGATCATTGACGTAAGTCTAAAAATTTTTTTACCAGCTTTTATTATTCAATTTTTGACGCGCCTTTTACTTCGCAATTTTTATAATTATCATTCGACTGTGAATATTTACATTTATAGAAGATCTAAACGTGCAAAAATATATACATATACATAATATACGAAATTCTACAAAATCCCAATTCCATTCCACTAGTCGGATTTGTACATGGACGTGCACAACAAGTCTACTTATATACATATACATTATTATCAGTCTAACGTAATATGTATATTGATATGGCGACTCTTTTAATAGCTCGATCATAGAAAAGTTTGTACATATACCAAAGGACGTGGTGCAGGTCAGAAACGATCTTCGCGTGTTTTATCCGAGCTTTTA